ATCCCCACCACTAACTCAAGAAGTAAACCTTAAAACACAGATGTTGATTATTAAGGATAGACTTACAATAGGTTTAGGAAGTTTTCAGCCTGGAAGTCAATGTTCCATTCACAATGCTTTCAGCTTAGAAGGTGACTCCACAAAATCATACTTTATTGATCTCACATATAATGAATCCATATGACATTTTTCATAATTTATTTGATAAGTATTATAAAATGTGCTCCACTGAAGAGGTTCATGCCAGCCTGACATTGAACCCAAGCAAAATCTGTACTCATGGGAGACTGAACTAAGAGATCAGCTTTAACCAGCAAAAAGAAAGCTAAGTTTGCCATTTAGTCTAGTACAGACTCTCTAGGATATTATGGGGCTTTCAAAGTTGGAGATCTCTGTGATATTACAATTGGTGATATTATAGTTGGTAATAACGAATACCTCGGTTTCATCTTATGTCCCCCTCATAATATTACCTTATGTATCCACATTGGTAGTCTTGGCATGGAGTGCCTTGCTCAGTGCCACCCTCCTCCCTTGCTTATTAATTCCCACTCATCCTTCAATCCTTAACTGGAAGGTTTCACTGCAACTCTACTTGCATCTGAGGCAAGGTTGGCTTCTCAAGGAATGTCCTGATATTTCTGTGTGCTTAGAAATATTCACCATTCTTTTTGCTTCTAATTAAAACTATTTCCTTTTGTGTTTCCTGTAAAGGCTGTGCTCTCTGATATCAGGAACCGTGTTTTATTCATCACTGTGTTTTCAGTATCTATGAGTGGTCCAGGGTCATCATCATTTATCCAATAAACCTTTTTTTGAGTATAAACAGTTTGCAAATGAAGAAACTGAGGTACAGCCAGGTATGGTGGCATATGCCTGTAATCACAGTGGCTCAGGAGAAAGAGGCAGGAGGACTGCAAATTCAAAGCCAGCCTCAGCAACTTAGTAAGACACTAAGCAACTTAGAGAGACCCTGTCTCAAAGTAAAAATTGAAAAGGGCTAGGAATATGGCTCAATGGTAAAGCACCTCTGGGTTCAATCCCCAGTATCAAAAAAGAAAAAAAAAACAGGTAAAGAAAAATTACTTGATTTGTAAAACAAGTCAAATACATACCAAAATAAATTAAGAGAGAAACTAATTACCTAATTAAAGTTGAATAACAGTGGAATAGGTGTGTGGCTGTGATAGAGCACTTTCTTAGTATGCAGAAGATCCTGGGTTTGATCTCCACGCACATAAACACACACACAAAATTGAATTAACAGTCATTTAAGATTTAAAGGTTTAGATTTCTATCTTATAATGAGAATGTTTATTTTCAGAAACCAATTTTTTCTAATCTACTCTACAAAAGACTATTTATTTTCCTCACCTAAAACACAGGTATTTATTTAAACATCTTGATATTCAGTGCAGATGCAATCAAATGGGCAAAAATCTGTGAAATATTTTAATAAGTAGTGAATGCAGAACTGTTCATTCAGGAAGTATCACACTTTGAAACTAAATGCAATAAGAAATTACCCTAGTGACTTCTATGTAGCATATAAAATAAGCTTTTTAATTTTTTTTATATCTGTGGTGATCAATTAATCATCCAAAATGCTTTTCCTCCAGTTGATTTTCAGTCTTAAGCTGCCTCTGCACTGTTCCATTCATAACAGGCTAGACCAGAATTACACCATTTGGCCACTAGGTGGCAACATCTCATAAGAGTCTGTTTACCCCAATGCCTGGTCACTTCCCCATTCCAAGCTGAATGCTTAATTTAAAACAAAACAAAACAAAACAAAACAAAAAAAACAGCGGCACTTCAAGACTCAAGTTGTGAAGATAAAGGCTGTTTTATTTCACTACCATTCTACATATCATGACAAACACTTTTCATGGTTGCCTAGGAGGTCAGAACATATTCCTACTAGGATACAACTATGAATTAAATTTGAATTTCAGATGCTGTTTCAGAAAAGGACTCAGTGCCTTGGAACAAGGAAATTGGTAATCTATAGGCATGCTACTGATTAATCTTGTCAATTAATAACTGACTCAGCTAACAAAGTAAACATGCATAAAAACAACATTATGATGCAAGAGTCTTCCTAGAACCTCTGAAGATCCATATTCTAACTCCTCTTCTTATTTTTGTTCAAATTGGAAACATTCTTTAGGAACACTATTTTTGTAGACTAGAAAATATACTGAAAGTAGCTATTTTTTAGGTAACCTGGTACAAAGAAAATACACCTGAGAATTATCATTTGAAAATTATCACAAAATTTTATGATATATTCATAAAGACAGAAAACTGAGAATTAGAAGAAAATTCTTGGGTGATATAGCCAGAGAAATCATATATAAATACATCTACTATCTGCTGCTTGTGTTTCAAAGCTATGTCCCCGTAAAGTACTTTAAAAAGGAATTTTTTTTTTTAATTTAAAAATTGCCTTGGCATCTTAGAAAGACCCTGTCTCAAAATAGAAAATGAAAAGGGCTGGGGATGTAACTCAGGGGTAGAGCACCCCTGGGTTCAATCCCAGAAATCCTAAGTAAGTAAATAAATAATATAGATCTTGAATAAAAGCACTTGATATTATATATCAAGCATCCACACACAGACATACATACACAGACACACACGTGTATGTATATATAAATGTGTAAGTATGTCTCAACATGCCCAACTCACTGCAGGGAGAGCTGACTACAAGGCCAGCTAGAATTTATCACTACACATACTTCCTCCTAGGTGAACAAAAAGTACAAACTCAGGCATGAGGTTTAATTAGTTGAATAAATATGTACACTCTGAAAGCTTATCGTATTCCTAGATGAGACACTTTGCCAAATGTTTTACAGCTATGTTTCACTCAAATGTCAGGACAAACCTGTGGGTTTAAGGATAAGAAAACAAGGCTCAAGGGGATGCATAACTTGACCACACCAGGCAGGAAAGGGCAGACCTGGGATCTTAGTTTACCACTGATTTCAAAACTCATTCTCTTCCCTTAAAATATATTTTCCATCTTCAAAAGACTATGCATATATACATCAAAGAACTAAATGCTCTAAACTGTGGATTTTTCACATCTTGGAACATTCTCATGATTTCAAAGGATTTAAAATGTTCTCAAAACAAAACACCTAGCATCGCACCTGGGCCCATGGTACCTCTTTAACAACAAAGTTTTCTTCCTTCCAAACAAAATGTTGAAGATTCATTTTATACCTTTTAAATGTTAGATATATGTTACAGAGCTCTGTTTGTGATGGTGAAAGCAATAAATCATATGGTTTTAAAAACATATAAAAGTGAAAATTCTTCCTAACCCCCTACTCTTCTGGCTCATCTCCAAAGACCCCACTTTCTGGTTTCTGTGCACAGATTTAGGGGTTCTCAGTTCTTCCCTCCTATTCCCTTCAATCTGAGGAGTGTACCAGGGCCTTGCACATGTGTACTAGCCAGAGCTCTGCTACTGAGCTAAATCCCCAACCTGGGTTCTCTCTTCTTTATGTACTTTACCTATCTGCATAATCTTGGCAGTTTCTCAAAAACACTGCCCCTCTACTAAATATTCCAATTTGATTCGTGTGGAGTAGGGCCCAGCATCCATATTGGAAGAAAATCTGCAAGTAATTCTAATGTGTAGCCAGGGCTTAAAAATCATCAGAGTTCAGTCACATCTCATTCCTCTCTGAACACAGTTCCCTCATTCCCATTCCCAATGAAGTGGTCTCTCTAACCCCTGGGCCCTTCTCCCGTCACTTCCCCATCAAATGTTCCCATTCTTTTTAAGTCTCACTTCAAATGTCACTTCTCCCATTAAACCTTCTGAGCACTCTCCCTGCAACACACACCAAAAGTAACCCTCCTTTCTTAGAATCGCTCTGACCACACATCATGATATGGGCACCTTGACTTCCTCTGGAAGTAGAAGTCAAGCCATAATTATGTACCAAAGAGTTAAGATGTACCCAACCTGAAGTGAGCAGCACCATTTCTACATTCTAATACTTCCTCTATGACCTACTTTATTAGCAGTGACCAGTGAGATAAAGCAATGCTCAGGAAGACTGACGATTTGTTCTTTAAGTCAAAGGCAGATATTATGCATAAGCTCAGAGTAGAGGGGACATGTGAGTTGCTCCTGGCATATGCAAGTCAAAGAACATGAGGGTCATTCTGGGCTAAGAGGGTTGGAACGAGCATTGTTGCTCAAAATAACCTAACCTGGAAACAATGCGTGCCCCCTTCTGCTGTGGGAAAGGACAGAGTTTGCTTCGTGTTGTGCCAGCTAGGTGAAAGGTTCATGTGATGGTCTGCAATGAAATTATATTCCCATTAGGTTTGGCAGGAGAAAGAGAGAAGTCTTGGGCTTTTTCAACTTTTTTTTCTCGCCTTTCCATCATCTCCCAAGAAGAGCTCAACAGATCCGTCTTGGGAACATGAAAAGGCTGCTATCCCCCCAACCTTGGGAAGCCCATCTTCAATAGGGAATATCCCAAACAAGTCAGAAATTACAAACACATCAGCTTTCCACTTGAGGGAGAACCTATTTACTCATCTCACAAGTTTCTTTTGCATTCAAAGGACATACAGTAAAATTGCACTGGGGCACAAGGACTATGAATGAATGACACATCTCATTCTTAAAATGTGGTTTGTGCATAAAGGCTGAAGAAGGGCCTTCCTTGCAGTTTCTACTGTCAAGATGGGCTCCCTGAGATACCTCTGACCATCACTCACTCAGCAAGAGACAGTGGGAGTCAGCAAAGCCTTGGCTGCTTGGATTAGAACAACACTCAAGGGGTTGGGGATTTAGCTCAGTGGCAGAGATCTCGCCTAGCACACACAAGACCCTGAGTTTGGTCCTCGACCCTGAAGGAAAAAAAAAGAAAGAATTACACTCAGATGAATGAATGGGTAATAGGATGCTTCACCAAAATTCGAGGTGGAGAGTGACTGAGCCTAGAATTGTGATCTGATTAAATAACATGAAGCTTCTGATGATCTGTTTCCAGATTAAGACTCTGGGTATGTAGCTCAGTGGTAGAGTGCTTGCCTAGCAGGCACTAGGCCCTGGGTTCAATCTCTGGCACCACATAAACAAAAAATTTCATGAGACATATCTATGTGAACAGCAGAGAGTGCCCAGGGCTCTGTGTTTATCTTAAACTTCTTCCACCCATTCATAAGCCAAACTTCCCTCCAATCTCACGGGCCACCGAGGACCACCTAGCCTCCTTTCTTGGTGAGGTTCAGGTTCAAAAGCTCCCAGTGGTTTTCAAAAGTGTTCTGTAGCTGCAACACAGGCTTTGTGTAAAGCCCCTTCTGTGTTGCCCCCGGCCCCAATATTCTAAGCCACAGGAGAGAAGCTGGGTTTAAAAAAATTTTTTAAAATATTTTTCTTTAGTTGTAGATGGACACAATGACTTTATTTTATTTATTTATTTTTATGTGGCACTGAGGATCAAGTCCAGTGCCTCACACATGCTATGTGAGCACTCTACCACTGAGCCACAGCCCTAACCTGAGAAGCTGGGTTTTTAATGTCAGAGCTAATAAGACATTAGTTGAATATCTCTAAAAGAGTTAACTTATTTGTTAATGACAATGAAGAATATAAGAAACCTACTTTTTATTTTTCCCAGTACTGGGGATTGAACTAAGAGGTACTTTACCTCTAAAATAAAATTAAAAAGACACCTAAAATAAAAGACACCTCTAGCCTTTTTTATTTTGAGAAAGGGCCTCTAAAAGTTGTTGAGGGTCTCACTAATGTGGAGGTTGGCCTCAAGCCTGCAATCCTCCTGACTCAGCCTCCTAAGTCCTTGGGGTTATAGGAGTGCTCCATCATACTCGACTCTGGAGGGGATCTCTGAGAATGCAGTCAGTCCACATTCCAAGGCCTCTCAAAAGCAAGAGTGACAATCAAGGATTCTTCACTTATGACTCGGAGGAAGGGCAGGACAATGAGACAGGAAGTCACAGCTAGGTCACTGTCACTACGTGTCTTTCAGAGTACCTTATACCTACAGCTACTTATGGAGATGCACATTGCACTATACCTCATAAAAGCACTGTGATTTTTGATAGCACACACTTGTCTAATTTTATGGATGTAAAAACAGAGGTATCAAAGTTCCATTACTTTTAACTCTTAGCAACAAACTAAGCCCAGAACTCGAGCAGTTTATCTTCTACATTCCAATAGTATCACTCATCCTTACAGCTTTCAGTTCACTTAAATGGCAGGTGTCACCCAACATTTGGTAGAATGTGGATCGTTCTAAGGCACCCACATAAAATGCAAAATTTACAAGTGTAGTAAAAATTTAATTAGAAGCAAAACACAATGTGAAAGAGTTATCCACACTCCAAAGGGCAAGGTAAATCCCTTGTAGAATTTAACAATACCCCACATACCTATGTTTTATTATCTTGCATTTTTCTAAAAAGTGACTAAGGGCTGGAGGTGTAGATCAGCGGTAGAGTGCATGCCTAGCACACGTGAGGCCCTGGATTCAATTCCCAGCATGGAAAGTTTTAACAAAAATGTTATTAGATCTTCCTTGTCCCTTGTATCTTATGGTTCTAGTATTATGTGTTACTGAACAAATTAGAGATGATAAGGCACAGTGTAATAAGTAACTTGCGCTGAAGTTTATAAATATAAAATAAGCATATGGCTATAAAATAAGACTTTCCTACATCTTACAATGAGTACTTTTTTATATCCATGTAATTTAGATACTATAAGATGAACTTTTCACTCACTTGTTGTACAATTATTGTGTAAAAATGGTATAGTGTTGAAGAAGATACTAAGTAGTAGGCACAACTTTTGCCTTTTTTTTTTTTTTTAATAGCTGAAAGCCTTTATGTACCTCAATAACTAGGTATGTCCCAATACCCTTGAGCCAGCACAGGTGACATGAATGGAGAGGAGTTCCAACATGATGTGAGCACCCAGCCCTTGCCAATCAACTTTTTCAGACTATAATCTTCATGGAGGCCACAACTCACTTGAAGCAAAGCCACGATGCCACTACCTCCTCCTGAGAGCCTCCAGGAAAGGATCAAGCAGGAGCAGAGAAGGTGGAATTTCAGGAGAACCAAGGGTTCCCATGCTCCTGAAGACTCTCAAGATCATCCACCCTTATGCCTGTTTTCTCTTCACCATCGGAAGCATAAGCCCTCCCAACGTTCTTCTCTCATATTTCATCCTCTTAATATTCTGTCACCTTCCTTCCCTTCCACACCCTCTCATCACAACACTTTGGATTTCTGTGACCAATGCACTTTGTCTAAGTAGATTATGCTCATCTGAAGGGGCCCTATTCAAGCGTCGCAGTCTTTAAGATGGCTTTTCCGACCTTTCAAGCTGGGCCCCATCTTGCCTGCAGAAGCTGTTATTATTCGTCCTCTTACCTCACACCGCTTATCACACTGAACATTACTGTTAAAGCCTTCATTTCTCACTTACATTGTGAGGGCAGGAACTAAGTCTTACTCTGTTATGTCACCAGAATTGAAATGGCCACTGGCACAGAACAGTAATTCAATCAACAATCATGGAACAGAAGAAAAAGAGAGAGGGAAGCTAGAGAGAAGAAATGCCTTCCCAAGTTAGAGCCCTGAACATTCTTTCCAGGAGAAGCATTCTGATCATGTGATGTTGGCTACACCCCAACTAGAGCATAGATGATAAGACTCTCTGTAGCTGGCGTGAACCCTAACACCTTATCTCATTTCTGGGGAATAAAATGTGCTAAAAGTTCCAAACACACATTGGTAAATAAGTACATTTGTAAGTTGACCTTTTGCTTTGGGCTACAACATTAATCTTGCAGATTGTCTAGTGCTTTTGAACATCTGGAGCCGTTTTATATCAATTGTCTAAATTGACCTGCAAGATAGCCCTCTGATATCATTATCTCAACTTGAGATACACTCTCTTGGCATGGATGTTCTAAGCCTTATACTAGGTACTGGGAACCCAAAAGAAAGATTCCTGTTTTCTTTTCCCAGCAGTCACAATCTAAACACACAGGGAAGATTCCCATTTGCACATACATTTGTGACTTACCTGCGGATTAGACAGTTATGAGTAACAGTGCTTGAACACTGCACTGTGAGGTTTCCCGGTAGATAAACTTCTGGATGCTACATTATATAGATTAGGTACAAGCTAAGTTAAGGTGACAGCAATCCCTCTAAGTTGTAGTCCTTTAAATTTATTTATTTTTATTTTTATTTTTAGTTATAGATGGACAGAATGTCTTTATTTTATTTGTTTATTTTTACGTGGTGCTGAGGGTCAAACCCAGTGCCTCATACATGCTAGGCAAGCGCTCTGCCACTGAGCTACAGCCCCAGCCCCTAAATTTTTTTTTTTTTTCTTTTTTGATGCTACTGGGGATTAAACCCAGGGGTGCTTTACCACAGAGCTATACCCCAATTCTTTTTATTTTCTATTTTGAGGCAGGATCTCTCCAAGTTGCCAAGGCTAGCCACCATATCTGACTAAAAAATAAAATAAAATAAAATCTTAAATATATCTTATCATCCAGGTCAGTGGCACACACCTGTGATCCCAGCTACTTGGGAGGCTAAGGCAGAAGGATCACAAGTTCAGAGTCACCCTCAGCAACTCTGCAAGACCCTATCTTGAAATAAAAAATAAAAAGGGCTGTGGATGTAGCTCAATGGTAAAGCACTCCTGGGTTCAATTCCCAGTAAACCCCAACCCCCAAATTTTATGTATCCTTCTGTGTTTTAAGATAGGTCTAGACTCAGATGAATACCTGTTTTACTTGAGACAGATGCTGATGGGTGGAGGAAGTCTTGGAAGTTCAGAGAGTGTTGCTAGTTGAACTATATTGAAGCCTAAGGGCAAGCTGTGTGTGATGAAAGGAGAATCCTTGTGGTACCAGGGAAAGCAAGTCAACTTCTCTCCTTTTCTCAGACTTGCAAGGAGCTGGAGCTATACAGTTCACCACTGAAGGGTCCCTGCACTTTCTTCCTTAGCAAAAAGCTACAGGGCTTTGTGCCATCGTGGACCTTGGCTCTCCTCTTTCCTCCGGCCAGTTGCCCAGGCCAGAGGCACCATCATTTACGTGAAGGTTTCTGCTTTCCCCAAATGCCCTGAGAATCCATGGGAGATCCAGGAGACCTACTTGAGAGTTCAGAGTTGAGAGTGGTCCCTGGGAATTGTCCAGAGGTATCTGGAGCCAAATCTGCTGAGGAGGAAGCCACAGCTCCACTCAGTGTGACTCTGGGCTTTTGTCCACAGGGTCAGAACTGACTAATGACTCTGACCCAAGACTGCCAAAGAAAGGGTTCTCCTGATCTCAGAACTGGAGTAGGGGCAAGAGCCCTGAATGGCCAGAGAGGCGGAAGGAAGGGGAGATTGGATGACCTCAGGGCATGAGAGTGGATGATATGGTCATAGCCCTGTTGCTCAGCATTATCAGCTTCTTCAGATTTTGATTTGATATTAGGTCAAGAAAGCATAGGGACTTTGGAAGCAATCTGTCTGGGTTCAATTTCCATCCTGTGTATGTGACTAGTTAGCTATTCAATCCTAGGTGATATTTTCCGGTTCTGTCCTTTTACTGGCAAATGCCATAATTTTAAGGATATAATTATTACTAGATGATTTAGTTTCTCAGGTCTCAACTTCCTCATCTATGAAGAAAATATAAAAATATGGGTGCTTTATGTAAGAATTAAGTACAATTCTCCATGTATTCTGTAAATGTTTATTGAATGCCCACTCTATGCCAGGGGATTTTCTGACCAGTCGTGATTAAGCAATGAACAAAACAGACAAAAGTCCCTAAAATCCCCACCTTCATTAAGTTCATACCATTTCCAGTTACTACAATAAACAATTAATATTGCTGGTTATCTTTAGAAGTTGTAAACCAGAGGAAGGTGGACTGCTATTTTATGTAAGGTGGTTATAGGCTGTCTGAGAGGATGAAATCTGAACAGAGAACTAAAGATGGAGAGACTGCAGATGCTAAAGCTCCTGCACAATGCCTGGCATAGCATAGGCACAGTGTTTCTTCATGACCATCATCACAATGTCACAATTATTGCTCACATAATTAGTTGCCCAGAAAAAATGTCTTAAAAAGAATTGATAGAGACAATTCAAAACATTAAGATCACTACTCCAGCAAGGAGTAATAATTATATCCTTAAAATTATGGCATTTGCCAGTAAAAGGACAGAACCGGAAAATATCACGCTAAGTAAAATAAGTCAGTCTCCCAAATCCAAAGGCTGAATGCTCTCTGATTTGTGGATGTTAACCCACAGCAAGAGAGGGGAAGGAGGGGAAGAAAAGAAGTTCATTGGATTAGACAAAGGGGAATGAAGGGAAGGGAGGAGATGGGAATAGGAAAGAGAGTAGAATGAATCAGACATAACTTTCCTATGCTCATATATGAATACACGACCAGTGTAATTCTATATCATGTACAACTACAAGAATGGGATCCTAATAAGTTATACTGCATGTATAACTTGACATATTGTAATATGTCCAAATACACTTTACTGTCATGTATATCTAAAAAGAATTTAAATTTTTTAAAGTATCTTTCTTGAATAAATAGAACTGTAGACCAAAAAAAAAAGTATCAAATTTTGCAGGTAATTGAGAATTCGAATTTGTGTGTGTGTGTGTGTGTGTGTGTGTGTGTGAGAGAGAGAGAGAGAGAGAGAGAGAGAGAGAGAGAGAGAGAGAGAGAGATAATAACTGGGTATTGAACCCAGGGGCACTTTTCCATTGAGTTACATCCCCAGCCATTTTTATTTTTTATTTTGAGACAGGGTCTCACTAAATTACTGAGGCTGCTCTCAAACTTATGATCCTCCTGCCTTAGCCTCCCAGGTGGCTGGAATCATAGGTGGGTGCCACTGTGCCCAGCTGAAAAGATATATTTAAAGTATGCACCAGACTAGCTATCCAAAGTTTCCAAAACTAAAATAAGTAGGTAATTCAAGGTGTTATTGAGCTAGTTCAAGAAATTTTAAGCTATATCAGAAGTAATTACTTTTCCAGATTAAGTATGACATTGGATAAATCTCTTACCACTCTAGACCTTCTATTTATCTTCTGTTTTAGTGCTTATAGAATAGAGCTACTATTATCTAGAATCTCTTCTTAATAAAAAAAAATTTGTGACCGGCAATAATTACTTACTCAATGGAGACAATGACAGCATTCAGTTCCTCAGCCATCACTGTGCACAGCTCATCATAATACTTGATTTCTAAAAGAGACAAAGGGGTAATCACTATAAAATGGGTCATTTAATACTGTCATAAATTTTGCTAAGCATGGATTATTTTTAGACATGGAGTTCATTTAATAATAAAAACAAATAATAAAAAGTGAATGTGAACAAATGTCTTCTTATTGGAATTATATGTAAAAATGCAAAAATCAAATTTGATTTCTGACAAAATGCAATTATAATAATAAATAACAGGAAATCCATATTAGATTAATCTTGAATATGTTTTTAACTAACTAAACATTTATTTCATAACAGGCAATAGGAAATACAGCAAATTAATTCTTACTTTGCAACTTTTCAAAATGTATACCTACCAAAATTTTTTTTAAAAATCACAGTGAATAAGCAGTTTCCTCCTTAGACTTATGAACTTTTGCTCTTTTAACATGCTCATTTGTTGTGATTCAGAAACATTATCAATTTGAGCAATGTGTTCTTCTCCTTAAATCAATAAATAAAATTTTAGAAAGTCCTAGCATTTCTTAGAAGGAAGACCCAAAAGTCTTAAGGGACAGAGGCAATTTTAATATGTAAGAATTTAATATTTAATCCCTTAATTGTTCTTGCAATAAATTAAGATCTATATTGTGCAAAAAGAGAGCCTAATATTTCCTATTTCTTTTTCTTTTTTCTTTTTTTTTTGGTCCCAGGGATTGAACCCAGGATTTCTTGATCACTTAGCCATATCCCCAGTCCTTTAAAAAATTTTTTATTTTGAGATAGGGTCTCCCTGTTGCTTAGGGCCTCACTAAGTTGCTGAGGCTAGCTTTGAACTCATCACCCTCCTGACTTAGCCTCCTAAACCACTGGGATTATAAACGTGTGCCACTGCGCCTGGTTTAATATTTCTTTATCTATGGCCTTTACAAGGCACCCTTAGAACCAGAAGTTTATGAGTGACATATCCGCCTGTATACCTCCACCAATCCCACTTCTTTTTTCAGCAGACATGATTAATGAAAATTATACAGAGAAGTTCTGATCAACTCTTGTAATCCATGCCATTCCTGGCACCTACACTTCCTATCCTTCAATGAGATATCTCATCTAGCAAGTGTCCGTGCTATAGACTCAGACTTTTCTAAGGCAGAGATTCTGTTGTACCCCTACCCCCAGCACACAGGCTGACCATTGGTCCACGTTTGCCCAAAACTTTGAGTTTTTGCACTGAAAGTCCTACATGCCAGGAAGCCCTTCAGTCTTGATTAAGTCTTGATTAAGCTCATATACTTGGTGAATAAAAGGATAAAGGATGGGCTGGCACGGTAACACAAGTGACTAGGTAGCTAAGGATCTCAAGTTCAAGGCCGGCCTAGGCAATTTTGTGAGACCTTGTCTCAAAATAAAAAATGAAAGGGCTAGGAATATAGTTCAGTGGTAGAGTGTCTCAAAATAAAATAATAAAAATAAAGAGTACACAATGCACACACTTGAAATCCCAACAGTTTGGAAGACTGAGGCAGTAGTATTGCAAGTTCAAAGCCAGCCTTGGCAACTTAGTGAAATGCTATCCCCTCCCCCCCCCAAAAAAAAACGCTATTCCAAAAAAAAAGGTCTAGGAATGTGGCTCAGTGGTTAGGCATCCCTGGTTCAATCCTGGTACCAAAACAAGAAAAAGAAAAGGAATAAATGATAAATATAAAGCTAAATAAAATAGGATTTCTAGAGACATTTATAGTTTCTGACCTTGTCTTCATTTAAAAATATATATAATAGCAAAATAAAAAAACAGGACAAGTTACCATTGCCTTTTTTTCTTTCTTTCTTTCTTTCAGGTACTAGGGATCAAACCCAGGGTCTCATGCATGCTAGGCAAGTGCTCAGCCACTGTGCCACAAACCCAGTCCTGCTACTGCCTTTAAATAGAGAGGAGGCCAAAAGTTCTGTGCTAAAGACAAGGAAGTAGCTCCATAGTCTCCTCAGGCAGAGCAAAGGCCTTGACTTCCTCTGAGGCAGGCTTTTTCCTGGTTGCTTTGCTTTGCTGTCTGCCATTTAAACCCACTACATTACTACTCATGAAAGAGATCCAACTCTATAAAAAATGTTCTTGAACTTGGGGAAATTACTTCTCTTTAATGGTTGCATACCTTTTATATTTTAATCTTTGGTTTCCTAAGTGGATAAGATATTGCTAAGATAATAACATGTACATTAAGAAATATCTGCCCTACTTTCTATGGAAAGACAAAAGTGTTAAGTTGGCAAAAGAGCTATAAATAATTCCCTCATATTCTGGCACAGTGAAACTTCACCTTGTTTTGTATAAAAAGCTATCATTGACACTTCATAAGAAGTTGATTGATGATTTAGATCATAAGAAAAAATGTTTTCAAAACAGCCTGTCTGCATTAAGAAGCAAACCTACAAGCAAAAAAAACAAAAAACAAAAAACAAAAAAAACCTTTTATATATACAATAATCATGTAATTTATCATTCAAACAAAGATCTTCCCCTTTCTTCCTTTCTTTCTATCTTTTTGGTAGGAGGAGGTACTAGGGATTGAAACCAGGGGCTTTACCACTGAGCTACAACCCAGTTCCTTTTATTTTTTATTTTGAGACAGGGTCTCACTAAATTTCTAAGGGCTTAGCTAAATTGCTGAGGCTGGCCTTGAGCTTGCAATCCTCCTCCATCAGCTTCCTAATCACTTACAGACATGCACCACCATGCCAATAAACCAGAAAACTTTTAAGTGAAAAAGCAGGCACTACTAATAATTTAATTTAATTTAATTTAATTTGCCCAGAGATAAATGGGACGGTCCAGGAGAAGAAGACAAATGGTTCCCTTCTTCTTACCCCTGAAGAAAGACAAACTCAACCACATTACTCCCCAGGGCCAACCACAACTCCAAGCAATCCGAGGGTGACCCAGCCGTACTTGCACTGGCCAAGGCCCAGCCTCCTCCGTGGATATAAACAACACTGCGTCTCAGCAGCTCCTGTGGCTTTGGAGAGGCTTCAAACACTCTGACTTCCACCCCATCAAAGTCAGTGTCGGTCACATTCACTTGGGCAGACGACCATGCACTTTTCTTTCCGAAAGAAACGATGATAAAATTCAGTGCAATCAAGTGATGGCTCAGTCCCAGGGAGTGTATAAGGTGACTCTGCAGGAAGAAAATAAAGAGAACAGTGTCAACTTGGTCAGCTCCTGAGAGACAGCTTCACTCACAACTCAGCATTTCTTTTCTTTCTTTTTTTTTTTTTTTAGTACTGAACACTGAACCCAGGAGCACTATACCTCTGATCTAAATTCCCAATACTTTTGATTTATTTATTTTTAATAATATTTGTGAGCCTGGGGATTAAACCCAGGGATGCTCTACCACTAAACTACATCTCTAGTTCTTTTACTTGTTTTTATTTTGAGACAGGAGTATTGCTAAGTTGCAGAGACTGGCCTCAAACTTGTGATCCTCTTGCCTCAGCCTCCAGAATAGCTGGGATCACAGACTAAACTCAGCATTTGAGTTCTTACAAGCAACAGCCACTGGATTGGAGGGTTCACTGGACACTTTTGATATAACAACAAATTGTATTTACCTTTTACTTTTAGGGCTGAGAAAAAAAATCATTCCTGAGACATTCTTTCATTTTCAAACCACTTCAAGAGGGAAATTGGATGGATATTATCAATCTCAATTTATTGAGAAGACTTAGAAATGACCTGAACTTGTCCATTTAGCTGGACAATGGTTCTTCTGAGACTCAGAACTACGATTTGTAAATTCTAGGATTCAGGGTTTGTTTTTTTTTTTTTAATTTTGCTTCCTAAATAAGCATGTTATAGTTCCAATAATATACTAGGAGTGGAAGAATAATATGTTAAATGCAAATAAAAGAGAAGAAAGCTTAATATTTACTTAAAGTATTTTTAAAGTGCTTCAAAGCTTATATACGTAGGTATGTCTGGTTGTTTTCAGAGCAGGAGAAAGGAATGAGTGTGCTAGAGAAAAGGAACAAGGTTAGCTGAGGCCCTGGATTTAGAAGCAGACCAGCTCAGACATAACCAGGAGCTTTTCAGAAAAGTGCAAAGAACATACAGACCCCTGAAACCATGGAGGCTGCACTAGTAGTCACAGAAAGTTACCTGGTTGCAGTGATTCAGAGAAACAAGAGGCCTAAGTAACCTACAAAGCAAAGACCCTGCAAGGTTTCTTTCCCTTTTTCCACTTCTTCAAGATCTCAGGAAGGGGCCCAGCTGGAGAGTGACAGTGCTCATTAGAGAAATTATTAATGCCACTGTAAGATCAAGGGAGCAGTGTTAGCAGAAATCAGGACTATGTGATGCCTGCAACACACCATAACACAGCTTTCCAGCCTGTGGGGGGGGGGGCACACTGGTGTGCCTTGAGGAGGAACAGGTGGGTCCTGCACACAGGACAGCCACACTCCTGATCGATTTACCCAGTGTCCCATATAAATATTATCACTGTAGATATATAGATATCTTGTCATGAAAAGGACTGGAAAACACAGCATTATAAAACCATTAGCCAATATTCATGGAAAACAAGAACAAGGCAATTAATCTAAGAAAGAACAGCTATTTCAGGAATCCTGTTATTCATTTGCTGGCAAGTATAAATGGTAGCAGAGCAACCCAGTATTAATAAAATAATCCAATTTCTATATGTGCTTTGACATCAGTTGCTCAACTGACTGAAAAAGTTAGGGTAAATGTCCTTAAACAAACATATGAGTGTGTGTGTGGCAGGGGGCATGAGTATGTACACAGGCACAGAAGGCACAGAGGAGTCTAACAATCAACTTAAGGTCCTTAGCAAATTGGAAAAGGACAATTGTCATTCAAGTTTTGTGGTAAAATGTCAATCTGTCCTGGGGAATGTTGAGGTTTGCCAGGACATAGCTGAAGATCATTGTATTGGCGCAGACACAATAAACCCTTATCAGCACTGTTATCAACTAAAAGAGATCAGGCACCATCCATTCCAATTTTTTTTTGTACTGGAGATTGAACCCAGAGGCACTTTACAACAGAGCGACATCCCCAGTCCTTTTTATATTTTAATTTTGAGACAGACTCTTGCTTAATGGCCTCTCCTAAGTTGCTGAGATGATAGGTGTGTATCACCGCACTTGGCTTTCATTGCAATCTTCACAGGACACGTAGCTTGATAGGCATAAAATGATGAAATATGAACAAAGAAATAGCAGTCTTGGCTCTGATGCTTTCTGGTGTGAATTTTCTTTCTTTCTTTCTTCTTTTTTTTAATTTAAATGAAAACTTCATTAAATATTTCAGACAAAGTTTTGTTTGTTCAGCTGTAGGCAAGCTCTAAAATAAGTGAGTTGTCTTTACAGGACAGGTAAGAGAAGATCACTCATTTCACAAGAAGACCCATGTGGGTTTCCTTCCTGTGGCATGTGCACAGACTTGACTGAGTTTGCCTACACCTTTCCAGAACTTCTGCTTGTTAGCTTATGTTCATTTGCACTAGCAGAACTTCTGAATCACCACCTGTGTTGTTTACAACAGTGACGGGGCAGTGTGGGGACAGACTGCGAATTAGAAGAGGGACAAGTTGTTTATGTAGGGGGGAAAAAAAAAAACTACAGGAGCAAGAAAGGGTACCTAGTGGAAAAGTACCCAGGAAGGTGCTCACAGAAAAACTATGCTTATGTTTGGAATTATGTTGATAAATTAGAAAATAGAAAGTTATCCTCCAGCCCCGTCATGATTCTTTCAGACTGTGAAAGGGGAGAGAACTAACAGTAACCTGTTGTTAATCCCTTTATTGTTACTATTAAATAGCTCCTAAGTGCCTACAATGCTTGCAGGGATGTTAGTTGAATTTGGCTAGATTCCATGAGATAAGTACTCATTCTATTCCTTCTTTAAAGGAGATAAGTTTAGAGAAGAAGGAACCTGTGCAGAAGTTCAATTCCTAAAATCTTGAAGGCTCTGTGGGTCATACAGAATTGCCCCAGAAGTTTAGGTTTAGGTCAGTGTGGGCCTGGGAAGCTACTCTGAGCCCTGTCCAGTAGGGATCACATGAGCATATTCGTTCACATGATGTTATAGGGCATGACAAAATTGTAAATATCATCAAGCTTTTCTCTCTAGGACCTAGTGTTTCCTTTAGTTTTTCTCACAGTTCTCCTCCCACTCCTCCTACCCAGCAAATACAACCAGTAGCCAACCATTTCTATAGTTTGTACTTCAGTGATAGGGTATGAGTACAAATAGCCCAGAAATAGGCAGGAGCATCACAAGTTCAAGGCCAGTCTCAACAACTTAACAAGATCCTGTCTCAAAATT